GTGATACTTTCTTCTTTCCATTTCTGCTTTACTTATTTTGTATTTGTTGCTTGATCCTGAAACTGATCCCGAGACCCAAGGTCGGATAAGGTAGGCACACGCTGCGCAAGCCTCCCACCTTACTGTCATGTCGCCTCTTTGGTTCTGTCTTCCTATTCCGTTCTCTGCTGCACTATGTGTTTCAGTATTATGTTCCTGGGCCTATCTGTCCATAAGTATAGAGTTAGTGAAAAGAGGAATCTCCTATTGACCTACACGAAGTGAACGAAAAGGTGCAATGTTGTTGTGTAATGTATCTCCCGGCGCCACCTACGTCAGTAGACACCACCGTGGCGTTCTAAAGTGTACAAATTAGAGACAGGGAAGCTAGATACAGGATAAGACAGTTCTCCCTCCGCAGTCTTGAAAAAGCGTGCATGTTTTTGAGTAAAACGGAAATCTCCACTTAGCTTATTCAAGGGGCCTCGATAGTCTCAAGTAAATGACTGCAAAATCATGATCAAGTGCTGTGTCCAACTTGCTTTGACGTTATCAAAGCGCAGTATTACTCTCTCTATTTCCATCCCGCTACTAGTCTTGTAGATGGTCCACGTACCTCACTCTATACCCGCTCGTAGAGAACTCAGTAGTGAATGCCAAATGCCGCTGTCTGATGATCGGTGAAATGCGCAAAACTTGAAGTTGCAGCTACACAGCAATTCGCTTCTTTGAATATGTACCTCACTATGTACCTAACAATGTACCCATTCCGCGTTCAAATTTCCAATCTCTTCCATGGAAACAAACCGATTGAACCAGCATGAAGTTGTTTCTTTTATATTATCTGCTTGTATGCTCCTCACAGAGCACCACCATTTGCCCTACGCGTGACATGCAATAGTCGGGATCTGCCTGTGGTACCATCGGCCAAGTATCTAGGCTTACATTTTGACAGGTCAATGTGCTGTCAGACAATGGTTCAACGTGTTGCTATCAGGGTTTCTGCTAAAATAGCTGTCTTATTCCGCCATGCTGCATCCTTAACCCTCTCATGTCGTCTCTACTACTTCAAATGCTTTGTGCTGCCTGAGTTTCTGTTAGCATCCAATGCTTATGCCCTACATCTATCTGTTCGCCAGGAGCTCCGACTGGAAAGGCTCTTCAAGCGCGCAATTGGTGTTGTATGCAAAGTGCCCCCATGGAACTCCACTGTTAGGCTGCTTGAGCGTGTACATGTCTCTCCCTTGCGCGCTAGCATTCAACTTATCTTGCTCTGCTTTATATAGCGTTGTCTCAATTCTTCAGGAAGTAGATTGTTTGAGACTGTTTTTCCTCCTCTTCCGTAACGAAGAACTCGAGGAGGCAACAGTTACCTTTTTATTGTCCCTGCAGCTGCTTCTGCACATTCTGCCAGATTGGTGACACAAGCTGGCGCATTTCTGTGGAATTCTCTCCATGCGGATATCAGAGGCGTCACCAAACTGGCCGCCTTCCAGTCAAGCACTTTGCAACACATTCTTGTCTGCTTTCAGATTTACGCCCACGTTTCTGTAGCTGTGCTGGAACTGCTCTATTTCGCCGCCACTATTTACCATTAGCCATGTCTCCCCCTCCTCAACCCTACACAGATGGTTCATTGTTATTAGACATCTGCCTGTTCTGGTTTCTCCAATTTAAATACAAGAATACTTCTACTCTCACTCTCTCACTCTATTTCTCTTTCTCTCTTTGTCTCTTTATCTCCCTCCCTCCCTAGCTGCATTCCTAACTATGCCTGGTCTCTCTTTCTCTCTCTCTCTCTTTCTCACTTTATCTCCCTCCCTCCCTAGCTTCATTCCGATCGATGCCTGGTCGTAGGCTATCATTCGGGGACCTACGGTCGGATGAGCCTCACCCACCACATCGGCACATCGCCCCTACGCCTCATTATCAGTTGTAGTTCCTCCGCGTCAGTAAAATGTTCGCTTCCCAGAGCGATTTTTCAAATTTATTTTGTCCACTCGAGGGGCAAAGAAATCAGCTAGAAATTGAGGCAGAGCATTGTCGACGGACCCAGCTTTCCTTTGTAGCCTCCCGCTTTGCAGCACTTGTAGCTAAGGTCGACGTCTTCATCAGAGTTTGAGGCAGTCCCTTCAGCACTCAACACTACGCTGAAGAAGACCCGCGTTCAAATTCAGGTCAAGAAACTTCGTTTTCAAGCCATCCATGCCTGCAGGTGGCAGGGGATGAAGGCAAGCTAGCATTTTTCAAGTACACTGTAACGACCTTCCAGCGGGGTAGGGTAAGCATTTCCGCACCTTCTTTCCTTGGCAAGCACTTCGCTTAATTTATCGGTGTTTTCAGACCTGCTACCTTTGCAGCAACATGCACCACAAATAGCGCATTTTAGGAATTTGAGACAACTTTGTTCTTGCCATCGTCAACTTCAGCATCTCGTATTCAGGAGAGACACCAGGAATCTTATACCTGGGCTTACAGTCTGGATAAATGCCCACTCGAGCGATGTGGGACGGCACGAACTCAAGAAAACGAAATCCGCTCTGGGGCGGAATAGTGCGGAGCGCGATGAATTTGCTTGGTGCAGAAGAGACCTCCGAAAAGGTCCGAGACCACCACGGCTTCAGTAACAAGTAGACATTGCGCAGGAAGGGTCACACCAGTGTTCGAACACAGAAAACAGCGATTCCGACTGTCTGACGAAGATGAGCCAAGTCACAAAATATTACGATGTGCGAAGCGACAATTTTAATGACACGGAGGAAGTACTCTTCCCCTGATTATTAGTAGGTCTGTGTTTGCTAGTACAAAAAACTAATACTACTTTGCTGATGTACATTATATTGCTTTGCACATTTTATGGAATAGGAACGGATTAGCGATGGTGCGCTCTGAGAGCGACAGGGGAAATTCTTCCTTAGACGAGGGTGAGCAATGCTCCTCGCAAAACGCAGATTAAGTTGACATCAGGCCGTATTTCCTCACCTGTGGCCTCAGCAGCAATGCACTTGAAGCTGCGCAACCAGACAAATTCAATCCGATACAGATAGCCATCAGTGCAGTAGATCTGCCAACAGCGGAAACCCTCTTTTTTAGGGATGGTTTATTTTTCAGCCAGCACAATGAGGTCTCATTGAAGTGTGTACCAATCGGGGATGTTAATTGCTTTATGAAACAGGATACGATGTGACCGTTCGCAGCATTCCCAGACATAAGTCTAGGAGTCGCGGTCGGTGAAGAAAGCGGCGGTGATATGCCTGTCTACAATTTTATATATGCGGGCCTGGCGTCCTTGTTCGGGGTGCATAGCGCATTATTTGGTATTTTGAACCAACGTTTGATATCCGCGCCGAGGACCGTGATTTTCAAGCATTGAAAACAGCAGGAGAGGTAAACGCATAACATCTCTGTAAAGAGACTTAATAAAAGGGCTATTTTACCGCATTTCACATTGTTTTTGTTCGACGTCGGCCATATTAATATGTAAAGAAGAAAGGACCAACAAGTTATGATGTATGACTAACAGTCCACCAAGGTAAAAAGATATTGGGATGCGTTGTTGGTTTGCCCGTATTAGATTTGTTGTAGCTAGGTGTCGTTGAACATGAATAGACTCAGCCGAAGATGCGTCTCATTTGGTCAATCAGGAAAGTGTGAAGATCACTTGATGGTGTTTCGTGCTCGATTCGGGCAATGCTGTGAAACAGGTTTGTATTATTGAGCGAGTAATAGCGCGAGAATAATTATAGGTTAATGCATAACCTGGAGTGCCTACTGTTTGCATAGCGCCCGTAAGATTGGGCATTAACGGCCCAAAGAGGACGGTTTATGATTAGGTATTTAAGCCAATCTTCCATTTACAAAGCAAATAGACGGTTTTCGACGTTTTGACGTCTATATTACACTGCTAAACTTCTCCATGTTCCTGTGCGACCAGAATTGCACCCAATATCGGTTCAGAAATTCATAAATGTTAACATGCACGGTCAATGATGTCAGGGTTGTGTGATCATGCTAGAACTGTGTTGATACAATGCGGGATTACCTCTCCTCGACTGGTGTCTCAGTCGTCCATGCAGAATGTAAAAATGACCTTCCAACACCCATGTACCCACCCATCTTAGCGGACAAATTTACGCGTACTTGACAGCTTCGCCCTTGCTATCATGCCCTACTTGTTATTTGGTTTATATTTGGCTGCGGCTCACTACCCCTCGATTATTGGTTTTGGGCTATTCCTGTTTATGTCTGGGTGTTTTCCAGCATGCATGTATGTGGAGTGAGAACGAATGCAACCTGCACCCGGGATTGAAAAGTTTGCGTCTAGTCGCACTGACCACCACTCCTTACCGGATGTGAGTGTAAAGAAACATGTTCACACTTCAAGTAATACCGGCACACGTGTCATGCGCCTGAAGTTTGGTGGAATTCTGTATGTACCAGTCACTAGTGATGGTCCGCCGTATTGACGGTTTGAAACGAAGTGAGTATAATTACGTGATTTACCTTAAATGTAATCGCGTTTGCAGCGTTTAAATTAAGGCATAGGAGAGTAGAGCATTGTCTTGATTATTTATGTCACTGTCAGAAACATCCTTACCGCTACTGAAGAGTGACAGACCTATCGGGACAGTCACGGCATACCCTAAAACGTTTTTGTAGGAATACCCAGAATGTTCTAAACCGTTACAAGGCGCTCTAACCGGCACTCGAAAACCTCCAGTATATTACACTGTATACTCTAGTTCCTTAGCATGAGAGTCACATGATAATGTAGCTACTACTAGCATGCACTAATGCGCACCGCATCAGATAAGGATAACTTGAATAGTTCTGCAGTTAGAGGACACCGCTGTAGGCAGCTACGCGGGAAAAGAGTCGTCTAGCGGTGAGAGTAACATTCTATTATCGAGATGCGGATGCGTTCATCATCAGAACAAAGAACACGTTACAACATCTCGCAAAGCAGCATGGGAGTTAAGAAGAATAGTTAAGCGACATTACCATCAGCCGCGTCCCAACATTCATATGTGCGTGTTGGTCTGTGCAAAATGCCGAGGTTGGTACTGAAGAGCCCCTATGGTTAGTTCGAACGTGCTTAGCTGTCTTGCCTATACAACATGGTAAACGGTGCCATCATTTCATATGAATTCCCACAACCTCGAAAGTCTACTTTTCAACTCCACCGTTTTTGAACCGTTTTCAGAAGACCTTGTTGAACAAGTGCTTGCAGAACGATCAGGAAGAACGAACAATATGCTGAGTTTACTGGCAGTGTTTCTGCTCGCCTGCTGCACCTCACTATCCGTCGCTGAGTTCGGAGCGGGGACCTTGAAAGGACATGTGACAATCCGATCGGATAGCGACAGTGCAAGCTTCTCTGCTGACCAGAGTGCAGACAGTGAAGACAGTGTGGATAATGAGGTCCAGATGCCGATGCCGATGGAGCCTTGCTTTCTCACGCAAACGTGCGAGTTCAGTAACGATGCCATTCAAGTAGCGCAACCAGCCGAATTCGATCTGATTCAAATGGCGCTCAGTGCAGTACCTGAAACGAATATGCTCTTTACCAGTGCGCTTACAATCCTGGACCAGCAAGATGCTGTGCTCAATAATGGTGTTTTGGCTAGCGACTTTAATTGCTTCATGTCGCAGGATACGCAGTCACCGTTTGCGGCACTATCCAAGTCAAGTCTCGGATTCTCTGTCGTTCTAGACAGGACGGGCGATGTGTTGCTGTTCACTTACACCTACACAAATCTGCCGTCTTCGTTTGGGACACTCAGAGTGATATTCGCATTTTCATTGGTTACTGGATTCAGTCAACCTACTTTCCAGTTCCGGTCGACGGAGGGCGAATTCCTTGAATTGAACCAGCGGGGGGAGGTAAGAAAATGCACGTTATGTTTATAACGATGCCGTGAACCGTTTCAAAAGTGTTACCCTGGAACAATGTAAACAAAGTAAACGTCGAAGGGTTGTTCTTGGTACCCGGGTACCCATCCGTTCATATCAGAGGCCCTTAATTGGTCCCTAATTTTTCTATGTTCAAGTCACTTCGTAACAACACTGCTGGGATCGCACATTCCCGGCGGGGGGTCCATTAATTGCAATTTTACGCTGGATGTCTGATTTGTTGTTGCACTTTTGCACCTAGTAGATCTACCTCGGCCAATATCAGACTCAAGTCAATTTTCGAATGAAAATGTGATATCAGAATACAACCTTGAAACAGAAAAATTCCCATTTTTTGTAAAATGGAACTCGGATAATGTGCAGTAAGCAAACCAACAGCCTTCCGATTTGTTAGTGACAAAGGATCAAAGGTTTTTCAAAATTCATTTTCCCAAAGCCTCCTCCTTCCTATATTATCTCTGATTTTGCTCACCCAACCAAGAAGGGTGGTGTGTTGCTTTGCTGCTTCGAATTGTAGTTATACTGTAGATAGCTTGTCTCATCGTCGTCCTCTAACAGTCGCCATTCTTTGTTGCCGTGGGACTTGTGCTCGTTTTCGCTGCGCTCTCTTTCCCCTATTTGGTCCCAGCCCCATCCTGAACCTTCCAAGTTGCAATGCTGGTTGTTTGCACAATAGAGGAGGGTTAGAGCCAAGCCTTAGGTGGTTGAATGTCTCAGTGGCGAATCAGTTTTGTGCCCTGTTATCGCACGCTCTGACCGCTTATTACCTTGTTGCAGACGTTCTTCATAATTTGTTCCCATATGTTTCCTTCTTCTATTACACATTTATTCCTGACTCATTTTCCGAGTTCCATTACGCATGCTTGATAAGTCGTCACTAACAATAGGGAACCTTAGACAGCCGTGAAACGTAAACGGGAACAGCTTCATCCGAACCCGCGTGAACACGACGTGATTTTGGATTATCTTCTGGCAATCACAACCCGTTTACGCGGGTCTAGCAAAGGGTTTTTGTTCACGAGGTCCATGTCAAATATTTCACCCAAAGAATTTTTACAATGGAGCCAGTCCGTTGAGACTATTAGAAACAATTGACGTTTCGGAGCAGAAGGCAAAAGAAACGAGCGAGCAAGCTGAAAGTTGACTTGGACACTTTGTTGGCGCTGTGGTTACCTTCGATCCTGTTCTGTGTCATGTTATTAATAGTTATGCCAAAATCAGCGGCCCTACTGGTTGTTTGGCACGTTTCGTCATCATATTTATTCCAAGAAAAATGGACGAAATCTTTTCAATGTTTGAGAAAAATTGCAGACAAAAAGAGGCGTGATAAACGGTCATATTCTCCATATCCTGGTTAAATCGCACGACATTAAATGAAACGAACCCATTGCGGTCATGGCGAGTAGAACGCTCCGAACTCGTGAAACAAGTGTATGTTTCGCGTGTTCAGGACGATACTCTAACCGAGGTCCTCTTCGTGTTGCCGTTCACCGGCTTGCTAACGGTTCTTAGTATGGCGAAACATACGTCTTTTGAAACTACTTGTGCCCTAGTATCGCACTTTCTGACTGCTTTATCTGGTAAAAATCGTGGTAAGTTGCTTTATAATTCGTTTCCATGTGATTTTTTCTATTTTAATTATATGTATTGGCTCAGTATCCGAGTTCAATGCTGAAATCAAGCAAGGTTTAATTCATACTTGACTGTACCCGTGTCTCGCCAATTCATTATTTCAGGCGATTTAGTATCGCTCAAGATCTAGCTGCCCAATGTTCTAATCGCTCGTGCTCCATACTTTTAATTGACAGGATCCTTCCAAAAAGAAATTATTTGTTTCGCTGTCTTTCGAGCGTATGATTTTGAAGGCGCTGTCCAGAGCACGAAAACCTAGATGGCGTCTGAAAACGTCTTCCTGGACGTTCCAAGTGCTTCGTGTAAAACACAAATGGTGTGCAACGTAATGTGAATAATATTCACAAAAACAGGAATAAAGGAAATTGAAAGGGCACGATTTAAAGAGAAGCTGCCCGTAAAAACCAGGTATGAAACTAGGGACCTCTATCCTACCAGAATGCAATGCGGTTTCAGAACTGCTACTTACGACGTTGATTTTTCCAACTAGGAACACACGCTTCTTGCCGAACTTGACACTTGATTGGCTCACGACTGCCACCCGGAGCACACGAGGAGCACGTCGCACCTTCCACTCGGCAAACCTGCAAGAAAGCACCACTCCCTGCTCAATGCACGGTGTTTCGGGGAATTCACCCCTCATCAGTTGAGCTTGAGTAGGCTGAGGAAGATTTAGCCTGAAAAGCACCACTTATAATACTGCTCTCCAGGCCAAACCAACACCAGGGATACAAACTTACAGAGACGCTTTGTTTCCAGCGCGACAAACACCTCGTGAAGCACCAGGTAGCAGCGTGAGTCAGATTCGCTCATGGAGTTGTGATAAACAGACGTTGAGAACCAGTATGCTATTCGCAACGCTGTCACCTCCAACAACTAGTCGCACGTCCGCGTGAGGGACTACAATACGAACTTAGAAGTTGTGACTTCTGCGGTAATAGTCAAGAAGTTGATTGTTCCAATTATGAACACACGCTTCTTGCCAAACTTACGGTACATTATAAACTCGCAATGATAAAGAGCAACAAATTTATAGAATTCTGGCAATAAAAAATGATTATAAACTTAGCTGTCGTTTCCTATGACTCGCGTTGATGTTGTCTTGTCCTCTTTACAAAAACAGGTTTGTAAAACGGCCAGGAAATTGCGAATTCGCAGATCGCGGAGCGTGTTACCATAAGAAAGAAAAAGAGGTCGGGGTACTAGGTGACCATACCGTATGTTTTTATGTCCTGTTTTTGTTTATTCAGATTTACACACTGGATGAGCCCCTCATTTGTGGTGGAGCTGAGCCGACGGATTCACCAGATAGGCCACCCACATTACCACCTGCTCTGGCTGGCGATCTAGGTGCTGTTACGACGGCTATTCAGAATGCTCTCTGCCCGACGACTTAGCCGTTTACAATCACCCTTCATTGGTCTGGCACATCTTTAACTTAAATTTTTAACTTTTGCCTGTTCTTCATTTTCTGTAAGTTACAACCGGCGAAAAACAATGTTTTTACTCACAGAAAGGATGTCATCTTCCAACAGTGTTGCCTACTTTGCACTTTTAAGTTATGCCTTTCGCTGTGGACTTTGGTCTTTTCAATTTCACTTCCGCAAATTAGTAGGACCGGTAGTATTGACATATTCGCGGAATGCCGCCTATGTACAACGGCATGGGAGAGGCAAACAAAAACTAAAATGCATATTTAACTCAGATAAACAGTTTCCTCTGAGAGAAAAATGCGATAATACTCATAAAAAGGACGCACTTCAGGCTCATTACAAACATCTTGAAAGTTTTTGTCTTGTGAACGATCGCTGAATAAAGCTGGACGGTGATTTCACTGAGAAACAAGTTATGTCCTTTTCAAACGGCGATGACGCGGGTGAAAGAACAGAAAGAATAACCAGAGAAGGTGACCGGTATTTCATGTAGGTGAGAGGAAGAAGGTTCTCCTCTCTTTCATCAGATGAGGAATGCATGCACCATGAGAGCTTGTCCATTGTACTCTTAACTGAAGAATTTCGCTGGAAAAGTGTGACAGAAAGACAGAATAGCCGGTACGGTGTAGATAAGCAGAAATGCAATTATCAAGGAGCTAAATAAGACTTGTTTCAACAAAGTAACTTGTAGGTACTAGCAATATATCGTAACTGTCATTGGAGTGTAACGAGTGTAACTGGCTACCGGCAGGTAACACATTCCATTCTCCTAATAACACCTATGCAAAGCGAAGTGTACTGCCGCCGTGTGATGCAAGCTCACCGTTCATCATGGCGCAGAATATGCGATGGTCAAATATTATATAGTGTAGCTGAACTTCGAATTGAATGGATCAAAGTCTATGCAAGAGCCATGTCCCCAGCACAGGGTCTTTGTGGAATATCTACTCTTTGCGGTCCTGTTATTTTTCTCCCATCTTCTTACGAGAAGGCTGTACCTTCAATACAACAAGTTTCGAGCAGTATTACCGCCTCTGGTCAAATATCCTGATGAGTAAAGAGAGAGAGAGAGAGAGCGAGAGAGAGATAGATAGATAGAGAGAGAGAGAAAGAGAGAAAGAGAGAGGCAACATTGCCTTTCTGTAGTACCTAAGATGGCGATGTAATGTGGGGTGTTCTTCAGCATGGCATTCGCGTTGCTGGATACAACTTTAGAAAGTCAACGAGCAACTCTTGTTTTGGTGCTAACAAATATCACATGTGCAGTGCATCGCATATCGCATTGTGAAGGTTTGGCCATGTGCAACCACTGCGATCAGCTCGTTAGGCCACTTGCGTGATTTTCGCGGCGGGCGAGAGTTGGGGAGTCTCGCCGTAGTTTATGTGCTTACTAGAACCCCAAAAAGAGTTCTATGAAACCCGCTTGAACCGGTGGTGCTCTCATTACTCCGATTGATAGTGTTCAATGTGAACAAAAGGATCGGAAACGCCACAGAAAATATAGAACATAAGGAGACGGAACAGTTCAATCTCTTCAACCTTTCGCACCAATTGCGGGGACTCAGGCGCGCCATGAAGCCGAATTATAAGAGTGAAAAGGAGACGATGTCGCATGTCAATACGCGTTACTGCAACTTGTGAAACTTCGCCATTGAAAACTTTAGGCTTCCGTGATGCCTTGGGGAACGTGATATACGCTTGTTTACAGTAGCGAGCTCACATTTACACCACTTTCCAGGAAACACAAAAGCTACTTGTAATACTGCCCAGAAACGAACACATTTTACTTCAAGTGAATTGTTCAGCACAATCATCAGGAGGGGAAACACTGCTTTTCACGAACCACATTAGTTAAGTTTCTTCAAGTGAGTTACAAGTGAACAAGGAGTAATCAACTGTAAGGAGGCGTACCAACATAAGGTTGGTCAGCAGTACAGTCAATGTATTAATGCACTGGAAAAAATTGCATGCATGAGGGGAGGGGAACTAAAAGAGACGAAGAAGAGACGGTGAGCAGTAGGACAACAGGGGCAAAACTACGCTGCGCATAACCTAGTAACTAAGAACCTTCCAAGCTGGAGGTCTGTTGGAGTGCGCACCCAAGACGTGCTAGAGCTCGACTCGACTTAGATGTGACAAGAGACGTGCTAAAGCTGATAGCCTGCTAGTTGTGTCTTCATGTTAGTTGCGGCTGCGCTCGACCAGGCCAGTAGGGCAAATTCAAGTAGGGGTCGCTGGACCTCACACTTTCAGCTTGTCATGGTTGCATTCCCATTCCCCACCTATGTTTTAATAACTATGCCTTAGAACCTCCCAAGTCGGAAGCTTGGCGGGGTGCGTATCCAAGACGTGCTAGAGCGGATAGCCAGTTAGTTGTAGAACGTCAGTACTGTTCGTCAGTTTTGTGCAATGTTATCACGCGAGCTGATTGTCAAGTAACTGTTGTTATTATAGCGAAATCGCAAGACGTGCTAGAGCTGATGGCCAGTTTGTTATAGAACGCCAGTACTGTTGGTCACTTGCGCGAAATTGTATCGCATGAGCTAATTGTCAAGTAACTGGTGGCGTTAGTGGATATTACAGCGTAACCTGTAGTTCATTGCTTCTTTTATCTATTATAAATTAATCATTGGCTTCCCACACGAGTCCATTATTGCACACCGGTCTAGCCGTCCTTATCTATGCGGCGAAGCGATCGCCGCGTGAAACTGCTCCTTGTTACCGCTGCTTATCATTCATCCAACTTGTCATAGTCAAAGTACAGTACTGTTTAACTACCTGCTACGATTGAACTCTTGCATATTGCCTAGTTTACAAAATGAAGAAGCCTTGCAAGTTGCCGCATGGAATGTCGACCATAAGAAACAGCCAAACCCCTCGAGCTGCAGGTTAATAGACGCACATACAAGATGATAACAACGCACAAGTTACTACAACCAATTTCCCCAGTTACAACTTAGCATACTCACGTTCTGATGTTGCATATATAGTTATACTAATGGTGGATCTACATAATTCCCAAATAAAGGTTTTACCGGCAGTTAGGTAACTTGCGGTACCTTAATATTGTCGTGTATGTGCGTTAAAGGGCATGTAACTGGGGAAAGACACACTACTACTAATGTGGACCATAAGAAACAGCCATACCCCTCGAGCTACAGGTTACTACACGCACACACAATATGATAACAAGATACAAGTTACTACAACCAAGTTGGCCAGTTACATGCTTGACCTTGACGCACATACACGACGATAAGATAACACAAGTTATCTAACTGCCGGTAAACCCTTACTTCGGGATTTATGTAGAAGCACCATTATACCTATATGCATATAACTATATTATATGTTATGAAACATCGGGACGTGAGTATACTGAGTTGTAACTTGTGCTTCTTTAATCAGAACAAAGTCGTTGTCAAAAGCTACGAGAGAAATCTATCTTTAGCTCGAAAAACCCATCGTGCTTGGAGGCAACCCTGGACCTTCTCTGACACTCGTCGATGCTTGGAACTAGACAATAGCTTATAATTATCGGTGTAGCTGGCACATTAGGTACATTCTCTTGAATTCTACTCTTCGTTCAACACCATTTTTTTCGTCTTATGTATTTTACAGGCACTCGAAGTCGTTCGCTATGGACAGTTTTATATGTCCTTTTCTTGTGCTACTAATTTGTATGTCAGCACATTCAGCCAGTTTAAACAAAGGTCGGGAATTTCGCTCTGATAGCGACAGTGGAGGGGAAAGCTCCTTCAGTAGTGAGCAGAGTGATGACAGCGCCTTGGATTTGGATATGGGGTCCTGTTTTCTCACCCAGACCTGCGCAATTAGCGACAATGCACTGCAGGTTAGACAGCCAGAGGAATTCGCCCAGCTACAGATGATTGCCAATGCAGTACCGCCCGTCAATATACTCCTGGCCAGTTCTGCTGAGCTGCTAGCCCAGCTCGGAGACGTGCTTACTGGAACCAGTGTGGCTTCCGTTGACTGCTTTCAAACCCAAGATTTCGTTACACGTACACTCACCTCAAAAGCCAGTCTGGGTTTTTCTCTTGACGTACAACTCGGTTCAGAAAGTAGCCTCGAAGTGTATAATTATATCGACCTTCCAGCACCGTTAGGCCTAATATCAATTTTTATCACTATACCAAGTACCGGGTCCCCATCATCAAGTTTCCGATTTACCTCAGTGGAAGGAGATTCGTTTCTACCGCTGGAACAAACGGGAGAGGTAAGCAAAACGTATGTTTCACTATTGTTCTGACAACCAGGTAACCGTTTTTAAATCACTTCCGGTGATAAGTAGTATTCCCGATCTCCTACGACCATTCTATTTTTGTAATATTTTTTACCATTATTCACAAATCCAACTCGGAAAATAAATAAATATGTGGACAAAAACAAACAGCTACTGAGTAGGGGCCCTGCACTAGCCAAATCTAACTTTTATTATTATGATACTAGAGGCATGTTCAATTGGTAGGATCAAGTGTATATACCCCCCCCCCCCGAGTGTGCAACGCCTGATGCAGCTCTGTTTAGGGTCTTGGTCGAGCGTATTGTAATCTTTGCGTCATAATACCGTACATATCTATGGGGAACCCAGGGAGTCGCGGAGATTCTCGGTCGAGCCTGGGATAAAAAAACCGGCGCCCTGCCTGGAGACTGGCCTTGCTCTGGTGTGGAGTGTACGCGTGGCATCAGAAGATCCAACTACGCTCGACCAAGACCCTATGCAGACCTGGATCAGGCGTTGCACATTCTGGGGGTTGTGTACTCTTTGTAGAATCGGGATCGAGATCAAGATCTCGTATCCGTCGGATCCTTCCTGAGTCAACGGATCACTTTATGTTCGGCCTTGGCTGTTGGCATGTTGACGAAATAATAAAATGGCGCTTACCGGCAAACCAGAAGGAAGAAAGTAGTTCTCATCGCGTGCGTCGTACGAAACCTTTTCGATCTTGTAAACTTTTCAGAAAGGTCGACAAAATCTATCTCAATCTACGTATGTGCGTACAATACACCTGTGCAAAAATGATTTTTGAGGAATTTTGCGTTGCTTCCTACATGGGAGCTCCCGGTTTCCCTGCCGACTTGAATTCTCACTTGAATGACTTACCACTGCCATCCAGAGCACACGAGAAGTCCATCAAACCGTCCACTCGGCAAACCAGCAAGAA